TATTTTTGAGACAGGTCTCCCTGTTGCCGAGGCTGGAGTGCAGTGGTACTATCACGACTCACTGCAGCCTCTACGCCTCTAGCTCCCAAGTAGCTGGAACTACAGGCATGCACTACCACGCATGGCTAATTTTTGTATCTTTTGTGGAGATGACGTTTCACCCTGTTGCCCAGGCTGGTCTCAAACTCCTGGGCTCAAGCGATCCACCTTCTTTGGCCTCCCAAAGTGCTGGGATTCAGGCATGAGCCATCATGCCCAGCCTGCAAGATCTGTAAAGCAGTAGCTATCACAGTTACAACCACTGTGGTCTCATTATTATTATTATTATTTTTTGACGGAGTTTCAGTCTTGTTGCCCAGGTTGGAGTACAATGGCATGATCTTGGCTCAGTGCAATCTCGGCTCACTGCAACCTCCACCTCTTGGGTTCAAGCGATTCTCCTACCTCAGCCTCCCTAATAGCTGGAATTACAGGCTGCGCCACCACGCCCCACTAATTTTTTTTGTATTTTTAGTAGAGACGGGCTTTCTCCATGTTGGTCAGGCTGGTCTCGAACTCCCGACCTCAGGTGATCCGCCCCACCTCGGCCTCCCAAAGTGCTGGGATTACAAGGGTGAGCCACCAGGCCCGGCCTCATTTATTATTATTATTATTTTTTTTTTTTTTTTTTGAGGCAGAGTCTCGCGCTGTCGCCCAGACTGGAGTGCAGTGGCCGGATCTCAGCTCACTGCAAGCTCCGCCTCCCGGGTTCACGCCATTCTCCTGCCTCAGCCTCCCAAGTAGCTGGGACTACAGGCGCCCGCCACCACGCCCAGCTAGTTTTTTGTATTTTTTTAGTAGAGACGGGGTTTCACCGTGTTAGCCAGGATGGTCTCGATCTCCTGACCTCGTGATCCGCCCGTCTCGGCCTTCCAAAGTGCTGGGATTACAGGCTTGAGCCACCGCACCCGGCCTGTTATTTTTTTTTTTAGTTGAAGTTTTTTTTTAGACAGAGTCTCCCTCTGTCATCCAAGCTGGATTGCAGCGAGGGCTGGGATTACAGGCATAAGCCACCGTGCCCAGCCTGTGGCCTTAGTTTATCTGCTGAATGCTAGGAACAGTTTATGCCAATTTGTAGAGATGTGATCAATGAATTCTTTCTCATTTCCACTAGTCTTAATGCTCCCATTCATGGATTCAAGGAACCATAGGCTCCTGGGGATCAGCTCATCTAATTTCTAGTCTAACACTGAATCCTCCTTTTGGCAGTTGTTTATCAAACCTCCGCTTGAGGCCAGGAATGGTACCTCACACCTGTAATTCCAGCACTCTGGGAGGTCAGGAATTCAAGACTAGCCTGGCGAAGATGGTGAAACCCTGTCTCTACTAAAAATACAAAAATTAGCCAGGCGTGGTGGCGTACACACACCTGCGGTCCCATCTACTTGCTTGGGGGCTGAGGCAGGAGAACTGCTTGAACCCGGGAGGCAGAGGTTGTATTGAGCCAAGATTGCCACTGCATTCCAGCCTGGGGAACATAGCGAGACTCCATCTCAAAAAAAAAAAAAAAATACACACACACAAAAAAACAGGCCAGGCACGGTGGCTCTCACCTGTAATCCCAGCACTTTGAGAGGCCAAGGCAGGTGGATCACAAGGTCAGGAGTTCAAGACTAGCCTGGCCAAGATAGTGAAACCTCATCTCTACTAAAAATAAAAAAAATTAGCCGGGCATGGTGGTGGGTGCCTGTAGTCCCAGCTACTTGGGAGGCTGACACAGGAGAATCTCTTGAATCCAGGAGGCAGAGGTTGCAGTGAGCTGAGATTGCACCACTGCACTCTAGCCTGGCGACAGAACGAGACTCCGTCTCAAAAAAAAAAAAAAAAAAAAAAAACCACCCTGGGCTTCATGGCTCACGCCTATAATCCCAGCACTTTGGGAGAACGAGGTGGGTAGATCACCTGAGGTCAGGAGTTTGAAACCAGCCTGACCAACATGGTGAAACCCCGTATCTACTAAAAATACACAAAAATTTAGCCAGGCATGGTGGTGTATGCCTGTAATCCCAGCTACTTGGAAGGCTGAGGCAGGAGAATTTCTTGAACCTGGGATGTGGAGGTTGCAGTAAGCCGAGATCATGCTATTACACTCCAGCCTGGGCGACAGAGCCAAATTGTGTTAAAAATAAATATATATATATGCGCACACACACATATATATGTAAATATATACATATATATATGTATTTCCACACATATCCATATATATTAGTACAGGCAGTGGTTCTGGCAACATTGTGAAGGTGGTGGGTATGAGTTTGGGAAACACCGTCCCTCATGTGCCAAGGTGTATAATCCTTCACATTCACCATGAATGTTTTTTCTTCATTCAAAATCTTCAACTCCTGTGTGGAAACAAGGATTGATAAAGTGAGCAGCCTCTCCTTCCACAAACTTCTGAATACAGAGATTGAGGCACTCTCTGGCTGGTTCCCTCAGGACCTTGAGGTCGTCCTCAAGACCTGCATCAGACTGCCTTTGTCATTTCCCTGTTCATTAAGATTTTCATTAGGAGCTGGGCTTCTCAATAAAAACACAAATGTAAGCCTGACCCTGTGCTATCTCTTAGCAGCGCTAATAAAAGGATTAGTGCAACAAGTTTCTAAAATGCATTTTAAATATCAGTTTTATTTTTCCTCATTGATGCAGAAGATAGCTTACTATAACATTAAGTCTTTGAAATAAAAAGGAAACGAGAACACAAAACCATTGTAAAGCAAATAAAACATGCAATCCTGATGATGTTTTGTCAATAAACCCAGGCCTAGCAATTTAAGCAGCTGGGAAGAGGGATAAGATATTTTACTTGTTTGTTCTGTCCTTGGGCTTTACTGATTGATTGACTGAGACAGAGTTTCGCTCTGGTTGACCAGGCTAGAGTGTAATGGCATGACCTCGGCTCATTGCAACCTCCACCTCCTGGGCTCAAATGATTCTCCTGCCTCAGCCTCCTGAGTAGCTGGGGTTACAGGCATGCGCCACTACACCTGCCTAATACTGTATTTTTCTTTAGTAGAGATGAGGGTTTCATCATGTCAGTCAGGCCAGTCTCAAACTCCTGACCTCAGGTGATCCACCCACCTCGGCCTCCCAAATTGCTGGGATTACAAGGGTGAGCCACCATTCCTCTCCTGTCCTTGAACTTTAGTAAGTTTTTCTTGTAAGCTGATGGTTGTATTATTTAAAGGTATAGGGAAGAACAAACAGAAGTCTAGCCCATTGAGAAAGGGGGTGTTACTGATAAAGGACTAAAGTGAATTTTTTTTCCCTGAAATCTGTTTGCTCTGTGGTTATATGATGGTTAATCACATGCTTATTGCCACCACTTATAAAGGTAGAGGCCGTGCTACATAGTCTCATCTATGTGGTACCCACATCATAGACATTATCCACCATGAAGAAACAGAAACAAAATAACAAAGGGGCTCCTGGTTGATGGAACCTCTTACTGAGCCAGGACTGCACCATACTGCAACCTGTCTCCAAGTCCAACAGAGTTTCCAGAGAGTTCTATCAGGTGCTTAAAAGGCACTAAGCAAGAAAAGCCCTTACTCACTGTTTCTCTCTTTTTTTTTTTTTTGTTTGAGATGGAGTTTTGCTCTTGTTGCCCAGACTAGAGTGCAGTGGAATGCGATCTCTGCTTACTGGAACTTAACATTAAAAGAAAAAGAAAAGCCGGGCGCGGTGGCTCACATCTATAATCCCAGCACTTTGGGAGGCCAAGGCGGGTGGATCACCTGAGGTCAGGAGTTCGCGACAAGCCTGGCCAACATGGCGAAACCCCATCTCTACTAAAAATACAAAAATTTAGCTGAGCGTGGTGGCGGCCGCTTGTCATCCATCCCAGCTACTTGGGCAGCTGAAGCAGGAGAATCGCTTGAACCCGGGAGGCAGGGGTTGCAGTGAGAGATCGCGCCACTGCACTCCAGCCTGGGCAACAAGTGTGAAACTCCATCTCAAAAAAAAAACAATGAAAAGAAAAAAAATTAGTTTAAACAAAATGGTTACTTTTGGCCGGGCACAGTGGCTCACACCTGTAATCCCAGCATTTTGGGAGCCCGAGGTGGGCGGATCACTTGAGGCCAGGAGTTCAAGACCAGCCTGGCCAACACGGCAAAACTATGTCTCTACTAAAAAGGAAATACAAAAAAATTAGCCGGGCATGGTGGCACATGCCTGTAATCCCAGCTGCTTGGGTGGCTCAGACACGAGAATCACTTGAACCTGGGAACAGGCAGAGGCTGCAGTGAGCCAAGATGGCACTGTACTCCAGCCTGGGCGACAGAGTGAGACTGTCTCAAAAAACAAAAAGTTACTTTAATACATTTGGGCTATTTATTGAGACATGTCACTCTGTCGCCCAGGCTGGAGTGCTGTCAGAATCTTGGCTCACTGCAACCTTTGTCCCCCAGACTCAAGCAATCCTCCCACCTCAGCCTCCAGAATAGCTGGGACTACAGGTGAACACCACCAGGTCCAGCTAATCTTTGCATCTTTTTTTTTTTTTTTTTTTGAAACGGAGTCTTGCTCTGTCACCCAGGCTGGAGTACAATGGTGCGAGCTCGGCTCACTGCAAGCTCCGCCTCCTGGGTTCATGCCATTCTCCTGCCTCAGCCTCCTGAGTAGCTGGGACTACAGGTGCCCGCCACCGCGCCCGGCTAATTTTTTGTATTTTTAGTAGAGACGGGGTTTCACCATGTTAGCTAGGATGTTCTCCATCTCCTGACCTCATGATTTGCCTGCCTTGGCCTCCCAATGTGCTGGGATTACAGGCATGAGCCACAGTGCCCAGCCATATTTCCCATTTTGCTTTGGGCTTCTGAAAAAATAAAGGAAGACACTTCTTTCTGCCTATCCTTACTATGTCATCCTCTGCAAGCCATCGCCTCTGTATATAAATACATTTAACAGCACTGTCATGAAAAATCTATGCCAGAGATACGATTAATTCCACCCACAGCTGATGAATATTTTCTGATTATATTTCTCAAGGCAAATATCCCCAACAATAACATGTATTGAACGCTATAGAAATAAACAGGATAGACAGAAAAAGACTCAGACTGTCTAAGTAGTAAAGTTTGTGCAGAACTGGAAACAAAAATCCACCTGGGTCAGAGGTATAGGGTTAATTTATCTTGCTGAGGGTCAGGTTTCTCCTTCATGCATGTTTAATGGTCCACCTAAGTTCAACTGGAGGAGCATCTTTCTTCTCTGTTAACCAAACATGCCCAGGTAGAGCTGCTTCTCTTTTCTATGGTAGCTGCTGAGTTCTGACTGTGTCAGCTGGAGGTACCGCCGGACGTTGGCATCTTGGAAGATGATGGAGAAGCAATTAGAAACAGAGCCAGTTAAGACCATAATCATACCTTGTGGCAAGAAACAATGTTAACATGCTCCCATTTTTAAATCTCTCCAAGATCTGAATATATCGCAACCATTCTATCCAATAGTAAATCTCGTTAATTAATAACATTTGGAATTGAAAAAAACAATCTGTGTCCCGGGCTGGACTGGTTGTTAATTTTTATTTATTTATTTATTTATTTATTTATTTTTGAGACAGAGTCTCACTCTGTCACCCAGGCTGGAGTGCAGTGGCACGCAATCTCCACTTACTGCAACCTCCACCTTCTGGGTTCAAGCAATTCTCCTGCCTCAGCCTCCCGAATAGCTGAGACTACAGGTGTGCGCCACCATGCCCAGCTAACTTTTGTATTTTTAGTAGAGATGGGGTTTCACCATGTTGGCCAGGCTGGTCTGGAACTCCTAACCTCATAATCCACCTGCCCTGGCCTCCCAAAGTGCTGGGATTACAGGTGTGAGTCACCACGCCTGGCCACTGGTTGCTAATTTCATAATAAAAGCAAGACTGATGAAGCAATTATTAAAATAGAGCCTCTAAAGATACTACTCGTAAAGATGGCAGGTTAATTTATGTACTTGAAGGTGAGAAACATGAACAAATGGCTTATATTTTATATCTTTATTAATTCATAATGCCTTTCTCATTCATTTAGATTAGTGAGATTTTACTGCACTGCTATACATTTGGGGACGCTGCTACTAGTATCCTGTGGCTATTGTAAGCCAGAATGCAAAAAGGAGACAATTTTCAGTGCTCAACCAACCAACACAGGAATGAGTCTCTCATCTGCTTCACAATATCCTTTTTGCCTTGGAAACAAAGTCCCAAATTCTCTCTCAGCAGGACTGCCCTTTTTCTAGGTCACACCTGGGGTTAGCTGAGCTAACGGATAAAAGTGGTGGATTTGTTGGCATTCACACATCCTATTCCAATCACTGGTTTTGTTGTTATTGTGTGTGTGTGTGTGTGTGGGTTTTTTTTGTTTTTTTATTTTTGAGATGGAGTCTCCCTCTGTCACCCAGGCTGGAGTGCAGTGGTGTTATCTCAGCTCACTGCAAGCTCCGCCTTCCTGGTTCATGCCATTCTCCTGCCTCAGTCTCCCAAGTAGCTGGGACCACAGGCACCTGCCACCACGCCCGGTTAATTTTTTGTATTTTTACTAGAGACAGGGTTTCATCATATTAGCCAAGATGGTCTCGAACTCCTGGTCTCACACTATCCGCCCACCTCAGGGTCCCAAAGTGCTGGGATTACAGGCGTGAGCCACCATGCCTGGCGTCCAATCACTCTTAAAGACCAGGAACAGAACTTGAAAAACAACACTGGTTTTTTTTTTTTTTTGAGATGGAGTCTCCCTCTGTCATCCAGGCTGGAGTGCACTGGCAGGAACTCGGCTCACTGCAAGCTCCGCCTCCCAGGTTCACCCCATTCTCCTGCCTCAGCCTCCCAAGTAGCTGGGACTATAGGCGCCCACCACCACGCCCGGCTAATTTTTTGTATTTTTAGTAGAGACGGGGTTTCACCGTGTTAGCCAGGACAGTCTCGATCTAACCTCGTGATTTGCCCGCCTCGGCCTCCCAAAGGGCTGGGATTACAGATGTGAGCACTGCGTCTGGCCATGCAGGCTAATTTTTGTATTTTTATTTATTTATTTATTTATTTATTATTATTTTTTTTAAGTAGAGATGGGTTTCGCCATGTTGGCCAGGCTGGTCTTGAAATCCTGACCTCAGGTGATCTGCCTGCCTTGGCCTCCCAAAGTGCTAGGATTACAGGCGTAAACCACGATACCCAGCCCCGGCAAACAAGACTGGTTTTTTTTTTTTTGAGACAGAGTCTCATTCTTATTGCCCAGGATCTCGGCTCACCACATTTGCCTCCCGGGTTCAAGCAATTCTCCTGCCTCAGCCTCCCAAGTAGCTGGGATTACAGGCGTGCGCCACCACACCCAGCTAATTTTGTATTTTTAGTAGAGATGGGGTTTTTCCATGTTGGTCAGGCTGGTCTTGAACTCCTGACCTCAGGTGATCCACCTACCTTGGCCTCCCCAAGTGCTGAGATAACAGACGTGAGCCACCCCGCCCAGCCTGCCTATTATATGTATATATTTATGTATATTTATAAATATATAAAATATATATTTATAAATAAAAGCACATTGATATATATTAAAATAGGCATACATATATATATGAAACAGACATACTGACATATATATTGTGTGTGCCTGATTAAGCATCAACCCCCTACACATGAAACCAATAATACTGCTTTTCTGGGGAGACAAGAACATAAAAGTAGAAAAAGGTCTGTTCATCGTATACTTTTTCAGTTTGAATTTTCAACCATGTGAATGTATTACTTATTGAAAATAATACATTGGCAAAGTAAAATAAAATCCCCTTTCCACAGATCCATCCTAGCAAGACAATTTTGTCTTTACCATTTCAAAGCCCTTCTCCCTTACCTTTAGGCTGCCTATTGACGGCAGCCAGGAGGTAGTGGCGGGCCTGGTCATAGTCCTGCAGATGGAAAAAGGCCACTCCGGCCCGATACAAGGCCTTGGCATTATCAGGCTGTCGTTCCAGGACTTTCTGACTATATTCTCTCACTCGTTCGTAGTTCACGGGTTCCATCTGAAGGAGACAGGCTAATGGGCCAAATGAAAAGAGAAGAGGGAGGAGGGTTCGTTACACCAGGTTCCACTGGCCAGCTCAAGGCAGTACCAAACAGGGTGGTAGCAACAACATTCAGTCAACAAATGCTAAAGTGTCTCCCATATGCCAGACACTCTTCTACACACTGGGGATGCAGCAGTGAATAAAAGCTTCACATATCAGCCCGGTGCAGGGGCTCATGACTGTAATCCCAGCACTTTGGGAGGCCAAGGCGGGCAGATCATCTGAGGTCGGGAGTTCAAGATCAGCCTGACCAACATGGAGAAACCCCATCTCTACTGAAAATAAAAATTAGCCAGGTGTGGTGGCGCATGCCTGTCCAGCTACTTGGGAGGGTGAGGCAGGACAATCGCTTGGACCTGGGAGACGGAGGTTTCAGTGAGCCGAGATTGTGCCATTGCACTCCAGCCAAGAGAACAAGAGTGAAACTTCATCTCAAAAAAAAAAAAAAAAAAAAACTTCACATTATCTTGTAATCTACTTCAATATTTACTGATTTTCTGCTACACATTTAGTACTGAGTTAGACCTGGCTATAAAACTGATAACAACATACTTTAAAATTTATTTAAAACTCTGGGCTGAGCATGGTGGCTCATGCCTGTAATCCTAGCACTTTGGGAGACTAAGGTAGGAGATTCGCTTGAGCCCAGGGGTTCAAGACCAGCCTGGGCAGCCTGGGCAACATAGTGAGACCTTCCCCTGCCCCCTTTTTTTGGCAGGGTATTCACTGCAGTGTTATAATAAGTGTATCCCGGATAACAAATGTATTCTTTATTATTATTTTTTTAAGATAGAGTCTCACTCATCAGCCAGGCTGGAGTGCAGTGGCATGATCTGCAACCTCCACCTCCCAGGTTCAACCAAGTCTTCTGCCTCAGCCTCCCGAGTAGCTGGGATTACAGACATGTGCCAACATATCCAGCTAATTTTTGTGTTTTTAGTACAGATGGGGTTTCACCATGTTGGCCAGGCTGTTCTCGAACTCCTGACCTCAAGGGATCTGCCCACCTTAACCTCCCAAAGTACTGGGATTACAGGCGTGAGCCACTATGCCCAGCTGAGACCCTATTTTTTTTTTTTTTGAGACGAAGCCTCGCTCTGTCACCCAGGCTGGAGTGCAATGGCACGATTTCAGCTCACTGCAACTCTGCCTCCCAGATTCAAGCAATTCTCCCGCCTCAGCTTTCAAGTAGCTGGGATTACAGGCACACACCACCATGCCCGGCTAATTTTTGTATTTTTGTAGAGATGGGATTTCGCCATGTTGGCCAGGCTGGTCTTGAACTCCTGACCTCAGGTGATTCACTCGTCTCAGCCTCCCAAAGTGCTGGGATTATAGACATGAGCCACCCTGCTCAGCCCCCCATTATTATTACTATTTTTTGAGATGGAGTGTCGCTCTGTCGCCCAGGCTGGAGTGCAGAAGCGTGATCTTGGCTCACTGTAACCTCTGCCTCCCGGGTTCAAGAGATTCTTCTGCTTCACCCTCCTGAGTAACTATGATTATAGGCGCTCACCACCATGCCTGGCTAATTTTTGTATTTTTAGTAGAGACGGGATTTCACCATGTTGGTCAGGCTGGTCTCCAACTCCTGACCTTGTGATCCACCTGCCTCGGCCTCCCAAAGTGCTGGGATTACAGGCATGAGCCACCGTGCCTGGCCCCATTAACTTTTTATATGAAATTAGAATGCAGTGAGCCGAGATTGTACCACTGCACTCCAGCCTGGGCTACAGAGTGAGACTCCATCTTAAAAAGAAAAAAAAAAAAAAATTAGATAAATTACAATTTTTTAAAAAACAAATTTATCTTCATTGTATCTCTTCTACCCAAGGCTCTATGTTCTGTATCCCCCATTTCACCACAGTTCTTGTACTGCAGCTTTGTTAATAATGGTTGCCATTAATTGTGTGAGGAAATGGCAAGCACTGTGCTATGTGCTTGATATACTGTCTTGTTTAATCTTCGCATCTACACAATTACATAGGTGTTACTATCTTCATTTAGTGGATGAAGAAATCAAGACTCAGAGAAGTAACTTGTCCGAGATCTTATAGCTTCTAGGTGGAATGAATATGAAATTTGAATGAAGCGTTCTCTAACTCCAAAATCATGATTCTCAGTAACAATCCAGTATATAACTTCACTATTCTCTTGGATGACTTAATGGGACCTTGAAATACAAACCTGCGGAGAAGCCAATTCAGGTCAATGTTCTGCCTTTTGATGATTAAGAAGGGAAACACATTCCCTATTTCACAACTGTGGGAATTAAACATAGTATTATGAAATCACGGTGCTGAGAAAGACCAAGAATCAGCACTGCTGAGCACATTAAAGGGCCTGTGCTGATGTCTGTATCCCTTCTACAACACCCCCACCAAGTGGTCATATGGTTTATACTTAGCTATTTCCCCAGAGGTCAACGAATCTATCACCCGTGCTCATTAATTCAACAACCAGTTCTTGTGCATTGACCATGTGCCAGGCACTGAGCTAGAAGCAGAGAATAAGAGGAGCAAGGCAGTCATCTTGATGATTAAAGAGGTTGAGGCCAGGCACAATGGCTCATGCTGTAATCCCAGTACTTTGGGAGGCTGAGGCAGGCTGATCACTTGAGGTCAGGAGTTCGAAACAAGCCTGGCCAACATGGTGAAACCCCATCTCTACTAAAAATACAAAGAAATTAGCTGAGTTTGGTGGCGGGCGCCTGTAATCCCAGCTACTTGGAAGGCTGAGGCAGGACAATTGCTTGAACCCGGCAGGCGGAGGTTGCAATGAGCCAACATCATGCCACTGCACTCTAGCCTGGTTGACAGAGTGAAACTCTGTCTCAAAAAAAAAAAAAAAAGAAAAAGAAAAAGTGGAGGAATACACAAGAAACAAGTAAATGAATTTGTTTGTTTGTTTTTAGACAGAGTCTCCCCGTTACCCAGGCTGGAGTGCACTGGCGCGACCTTGGCTCACTGCAACCTCCACCTCCTAGGTTCAAACAATTCTCCTGCCTCAGCTTCCCAAGTAGCTGGGATTACAGGCACCCAACAACACAACCAGCTAATTTTAAAAATATTTTTAGTAGAGACGGGGTTTCACCATGTTAGCCAGGATGGTCTCCATCTCCTGACCTTGTGATCTGGCTGTCATGGCCTCCCAAAGTGCTGGGATTACAGGCGTGAGCCACCACACCGGGCACAAGTAAATTAAGTTTTAAAAGTGCTTTAAGAGGCTAGGCACAGTGGCTCACACCTGTAATGCCAGCACTTTGGAGGCCAAGGCTCATGAGGTCAGAAGATCGAGACCATCCTGGCTAATATGGTGAAACCCCGTCTCTATTAAAAATACAAAACAGTAGCCGGGCGTGGTGGCGGGTGCCTGTAGTCCCAGCTACTCGGGAGGCTGAGGCAGGGGAATGGTGTGAAACCGGAAGGCAGAGCTTGCAGTGAGCCAGAATCACACCACTGACTCCAGCCTGGGTGACAAAGCGAGACTTGGTCTGGAAAAAAAAAAAAAAAGAATTGCTTTAAGAAAAATAAAACTATGCTGGGACAGAGAATGAATGAAGTCAGAGTGCTGTTTGCTTATGGAAGATGTTTTGGTGGGAGGAATGTGGGGGACAGAGTCTTGCTTGCTGTGTTGCCCAGGTTGGAGGGCAGTGGCCCAATCTTGGCTCACTGCAGCCTAGACCTCCCATGCTCAAGACACTGGCCCACCTCACTCTCCAGAACAGCTGGGACTACCCCAGTACGCATAACCAAGCCTGGCTAATTTTTGTGATTTTTTGTAAAGACAGGGTTGCGCCACGTTTCCCAGGCTGGTCTTGAACCTTGGCCTACCAAGGTGTTGGGATTCCAGACGTGAGCCACTGCGCCCTGCGCCCAACTACAGAAGGCTTCTGTTTTTTGTTTTTTGGTTTTTTTTTTGAGACGGAGTCTCACTGTGTTGCAAGGCTGGAGGGCACGATCTCGGCTCACTGCAACCACCAACTCCCCTGGTTCAAGCGATTCTGCTGCCTCAGCCTCCTGAGTAGCTGGGATTACAGGCACGCGCCACCATGCCCAGCTAATTTTTGTATTTTCAGTAGAGACACCGTGTTGGCCAGGATGGTCTCGATCTCCTGACCTCGTCATTCACCTACGCCAGCCTCCCAAAGTGCTGGGATTACAGGCATGAGCCACCACGCCTGGCCGACAGAAGGCTTCTCTAAGGAAGCAACTTTTGAGTCCGAATCTGGATAAGTGTCATTCAAGGGACAGGGCATTCTAGCTGGAAAGACCGCCTACAAAATGTGAAGGTGGAAATGTACTTTGGGCATTAAGTGTATAAAAGGGTCAGTTCGGGAAGGGCATGGTGGCTCACACCCGTAATCCCAACACTTTGGGAGGCCAAGGCGGGTGGGAGGTCAGGAGCTCGAGACCAGCCTGGACAACTGGGAAAACCCCGTCTCTACTAAAAATACAAAAATTAGCCGGGTGTAGTGGCAGGCGCCTATGATCCCAGCTACTTGGGAGGCTGAGGCAGGAGAATCGCTTGAATTCAGAAAGCAGAGCTTGCAGTGAGCCGAGATCACACCACTGCACTCCAGCCTGAGCAACAGAGTGAGACACTGTCTCAAAATAAATAAATAAATAAATAATAATAATAATAATAAATAAGGCCAGGCGTGGTGGGTCACGCCCATCATCCCAGCACTTTGGGAGGCCGAGGTGGGCGGATCACCTGAGGTTGGGAGTTCCAGACCAGTGTGACCAACATGAAGAAACCCCATCGCTACTAAAAATACAAAATTAGCAGGGCGTGGTGTCACATGTCTGTAGTCCCAGTTACTCGGGAGGCTGAGGCAGGAGAATTGCTTGAACCTGGAAGGCGGAGGTTATGGGGAGCCAAGATGGTGCCATTGCACTCTGGTCAACAAGAGCAAAACTCAGTCTCAAAAAAAAAAAATAAAAGAGCTAGTTGGTGCTGGGACCCAGGTGAGTTTGGATTTTCTCATAAGTGTGATGAGATGCCAATGGGGTGTTTTAGGCAGTGACATGATCTGATTTCCTCATCTGTAAAATGGGGATAATCCTTGCAGTTTTGTGAAGATGGCAGACATCTGTAAATGACTGCCCAACATGTTATAGGCACTCAATAAATAAAAATTATTGGGCCGGGTATGGTGGCTCATGCCTGTAATTCCAGCACTTTGGGAGGCCGAGGTGGGCGAATCGCCTGAGGTCAGGAGTCCGAACATGGTTCGCTAACATGGTTGGCTAACATGGTGAAACCCCATTTCTACTAAAAATACAAAAAATTAGCCGGGCGTGGTGGCACACACCTGTATCCCAGCTACTCCAGAGGCTGAGACAGGAGAATCGTTTGAATCCGGGAGGAGGAGGTTGCAGTGAGCTGAGATTGTGCCATTGCACCCCAGCTTGGGCAACAAGAGGGAAACCCTTCTCAAAAAAAAAAAAAAGAAAAGAAAAAAAAGAAAAATGAGGAAAAGTTATACGACCTACTTTAAACTTAATATTAAAATAAGGGCTATTTAATACTTGTGAAACACGTTCATTGCTTCAGCTGGTGGTTTAGATATTAAATGTCCCTTAAATAAACAATGGCCTGACCTTAGGTATAGTTTTGTCCTATAGCCTGCAAAACTCCCTAAAGCTATCAGCAATACCCAGAAGGCTGTTAGAAATGCAAACTGGAGCTGGGTACGGTGGCTCACGCATGTAATCCCAGCACTTTGGGAGGTGGAAGCGCGTGGATTACCTGAGGTCAAGAGTTCAAGACCAGCCTGATTAATATTATGAAACCCCATCTCCACTAAAAATACAAAAATTAGGTGTGGTGGCGCATGCCTGTAATCCCAGCTACTCAGGAAGCTGAGGCAGGAGAATCGCTTGAACCCGGGAGGCAGAGGCTGCAGTGAGCCGAGATCGCGCCAGTGCACTCCAGCCTGGGCGACAGAGCGAGACTCCATTCCAAAAAAAAAGAAAGAAAGAAATGCAAACTGGTAGGCCCCACGTCAGACCCATCCGAACCTCTGGGGATGGGGCCTAGGAAGTTGTGTTTTAACAAACTCTCCAGGTGAAGTCGGAGAAGCCCTGCTCTATGGCAACTTAATTAGAGCCCCACAGATTGGCAGATTATTTTAACTCATGGCAGAACAAATGGATGACAGTTAAAAAAAAGTCAGCGGTTTTTTTTTCCCCAATGTTCACAGATGTTCATGTTCCGGTCTTAATGCTCTCTAGCCCCCTTTAGCCCCGTTCTTACCAGCTAGATTGTTGTAGCAGTCAGTCTGGGTGGTATGCAGTATGTTTTCTTGTTCAGGCGTGAGGGCCGGGACCTGAGGTCCGAGATTAGGTAATGGAGAGGGCAGACTCGGATCCAGACCCCGCAGCTGAAGCAGAGCTCGATGGTACCTACTCACAGCATCTCGGTACTTCCCTTCCCGGTAGCGCTGGTTCCCTTCCTCCTTGTACAGCTGAGCCTCCTGCAGACGCTTCTCCATAACTGTCGCCCAGGGTTCTTGGGAAATTGCTAAGTGAAGGAGCAATTGAAGCTCTAGGGTTGGGAACAAAATAATTGACTGTAGTAGCCAATTCAAGAAGGCAGGAAATTACTCTTCTTCCTGGAGGGTCCCCCAACAGGGACCTGCGGTTTGCTTGTTTCTACTCACAGCCCCACCTCTCTCTCCTTTCCGCAGTCTTTTTCTCCAGAAGAGCAGGCAAGTAGTTAGGAAGGGGATGTGGAAATAATGAAGCCAAACATTAAGGGACTTCCTAAAAAGACGATGGGTGGGGGGGTGTGGAGACTTTCCGAAAAACTCAAGCGACGCCCCACTCAGAAATTGTTACGGGCGTGAGAACGCCGGGCACACTGGCTTCCGCCTTTCTTTCGGACCCGCCCCCCGACCTGGAAGTAGAAGGGAGTGGGTGGGACTAGTGCTAAAAGTCTGGAGGCTTGAAGCAATTCCAATTCTTCTTCCTTATTCAGCAATCATTTATCTGTTGACGTCAGTAATATAAACTGGGAAACCGAGGTGAACCACCACCAAGGGAGACTGACGTGTCCACATAAGCGTCACAGCTGCAAGCCCACCCAGCGCCGCGACCAGTTAGTTCCTCGCCCTCTGCAGATGCCCAAGCCTGGCTCTACTGGGTTTCGGTTTACCGGCGGGAGCAGGTCAGAAATGCGGACAGTTTGGTATCTTAAAGGGTGGCGAGCATTGCGCCACATCGCCCAATCAGAAGAGGCTCCGGAAAAATAATCCCGCAGAAACGACCCCGCCTCCTCAGCGAACCAAACGGGGGCGGGGGGGGGGAAAAATCCCCTGGCAGCTTCGCCAATTGGAAAAATCCGGACGATCAAGGATGACCAATCGGAACGGCAAATGACGATTCAAGTTGTCCAATAAGAGAAAAAGGGCGGGGTCAAGGGCCTTAGTTGCTGGGTAGAAGTTGAGCCACAGAAAAAAGGAGGGCCCGTGATTACCGTATTTCTTGGTTCTGGGGAGTCCTTTTGCTTCCTAGCCAGAAACACAATTGCTAGTAGGCTTACATGTTGCAACACATTCTCTTTTGACTTTTTTTGTCGTTACTGCTGCAAGCACAGACAGTAGGAAAAAGAAGCTAGCGACCCCTAACACGCCGCAGCAATTGAAAGTGAGACGGAAGTAACAGTAGTGGGAGGGGCAATGGCATCGGGGAGCTCCGCGCGGCTGCGCAGAACCCCCCAGCTGGAAGTACAGAAAGACCGGCGCGCACACGCTTCCGTGCTACGAGGCACTTGAGCCGCAGCCAGCCTTGCCCGTCTGGGACTCCACTGCGGCTGCGCGGTAAAAGCACCGGCGGCGATTGGCCCGGGGACGCCAGGGGGCGGGAGGAAGCGGGAGGAACTCCGTCGTCCTCCGCGCGCGCCTGCCCGCGGCTGGGGAACCGAAGGCCTGGAGGGGAAACAGATCCCCGCGGCGTTGTTTTGGGCTCCGTGAGCCGAAAGGGGGAGGGGAGAGGAAGCAGAAGCAAACACTGCGCAGTGGGACCGTGCGCGGCCTCCGCTTCTGCGTGCGTGCGCTCGCTCGCGCGGGCTTAGTGCTGGCGCGTGAGGCGGAGGCGGGCGGCGGCGGCGGCGCCTGCGCGGTCGGACTCGGTCGACGGTTCGCAGGGGAGGAGGCGGCGGGAGGCGGAGGAGGCGGCGGCGGCGATGGAGGTGAAGCGGCTGAAAGTGACCGAGCTGCGGTCAGAGCTGCAGCGGCGGGGCCTGGACTCGCGCGGCCTCAAGGTGGATCTGGCGCAGCGGCTGCAGGAGGCGCTGGACGCCGAGATGCTCGAGGACGAGGCCGGCGGCGGCGGGGCCGGGCCCGGCGGGGCCTGCAAGGCGGAGCCTCGGCCTGTGGCCGCGTCGGGCGGCGGCCCGGGCGGGGAGGAGGAGGAGGACGAAGAGGAGGAGGAGGAGGACGAGGAGGCGCTGCTTGAGGACGAGGACGAGGAGCCACCCCCTACTCAGGCCTTGGGTCAGGCCGCGCAGCCGCCGCCGGAGCCCCCGGAGGCGGCAGCCATGGAGGCCGCGGCCGAGCCAGATGCTTCCGAGAAGCCGGTGGAAGCCACGGTCGGGTCAGGCGGGGTAAATGGTGGCGAAGAGCAGGGCCCCGGCAAGGGGGAGGAAGACGAACCCGAGGAACGTAGCGGGGACGAGACGCCGGGATCCGAGGTGCCGGGTGACAAGGCCGCCGAGGAACAGGGTGAGGAGCTGGCAGCCGAGCCCGGCTCCAGCCTGCCGGCTGCTCCCCTGATCTAGCACCCCGCCCTGCACCGCGGGGTCCGAGTCCTTGCTTTCGCTTGCCTCAGAGTGCCATCTGATGGAATGCCTTTCATTCTCTACCCACCTTTCTGAGGGGTTAGGCCGCCTCTCGTGGTCCTACTCTTTGCAGGAGGAAGGTTCCTGCCTAACTTGGTTCCTTGGTGATAGTGGATGGCAGTGAGTGATTTTGTATGCGAACTGCTTGTGAGCTACCTGTGGAACAGTCTCCCACGGTGCTTGTTATATTTTTCTTAGTTGAGAACGTGCTAAGCAATTGGGGATTACACGGAGAACTAGGCCCACGGTTAGAGGGTCAGGCCTTTGGGCTACCTGTTAACTTTTTCACCGTAAAAATGTTAAGCGAAAATCGAAGTCCGTCAAAGTCCGCTCAGTTAAAAGCATGTTACCAGAGCTTGAGCCAGAGAATCTGAAAATCCAACCTTGCTCCTCTTTGAGCTGTAGGGGAGAGCTTCCAGTGTAACACTGTCGAGTTTAATAGTTAACCAGTGAAGAGAAAACGTTAATCATGTGCATTCAGAGTCAGTTAACGTTACTTGGCTAGGGTTTTTATCTTGCTTGGATTATGATTACATTTTAATTCTCCCACTGAGTCCGTGGATGGGCATGTTTGTAGATTTGCTGAATATCTGGTGCTAGCCTTTTACATTTCAGGTCCCTCGTTTCCTGACTGGTAATGATTGAGGTGCTGGTGGGTCCGTTGAGTAAGCTTGTGGAAGAGGTGTGTTGTAGAATTGCCCCAGGGAGTTAGTGACCTTTCTCCTTTCTTTCGAAGTGATTGGATGGTTACAACTGATCCATAACACTATGTCAGAGTAGGGAGGATAAGTCTTACTATAAGGTGGGTGGCCTTAGTTCTTTTGTTAGTCATTTTTTTAGGCCACTAACCGAGAGTCTGAACCCATTGTACAACAATCACATGCAACTTGCAGATTGTTTGTCCTGTGTCCTGGAACAAAAATTCCATTACATAACCTTTGACTTATGTGTATCCTAAAGAGCAGATAAAAATATTGAAGGATAGGCTGGGTGTGGTGGCTCACGCCTGTAATCCCAGCACTTTGGGAGGCCAGGTGGGTGGATCACCTGAGGTCAGGAGTTCAAGACCAGGCTGGCTAACATGGTGAAACCCTGTCTCTAGTAAAAATACAAAAAATTAGCCGGGCGTGATGGCGGGTGCCTGTAATCCCAACTTCTTGGGAGACTGAGGCGGGAGAATGGCTTGAACCCGGAAGGCAGAGGTTGCAGTGAGCCGAGATCACAAGACTGCACTCCAGCCTGGGCACGACAGAACAAGACTCCATCTCAAAAATATATATATTGAAGGATAAAAGACTTTTAAAGAAATTATTGTTAAAAACCTTAGCGTTGCAAAATGCAAAAGCCTAGGGAAAAATTCCAGGGTTTTTCCTCTTGTAGAGAATGTTGCTAAATGTACACCACCACCTTTCTGCCCCAAATTATGTGCCGTATAGATGAGGTATTATTTATGATCTCTTGTGACTTAGTGGTTTGCTCTTACAACTTTCAGTAGAAGTCCCTGGTAAAAATACAACTGTGTTTAATGCACTTGAGTCCATTTGGCTGTGCATTTCAAAGTAGGAAAGGGAAAAGAAAAATTGAGGCTTCTCTGTATCATGAAGTTGTGGAAAAGTGTTACAAAATACGTATTAAAAAAAAAAAAAAAATACGTATTAACTGCCTACCTTAAATCTAGATCTGACAAGAGTCAAATTAACCTTTGAAGTTTTTTTAGAGACCTAGGGGATATTTTTTATGTCATATTGTTGGGGAAATCTGCAAGTTTGACCTGATTTAAGTGGATAAATTTAGAATGCAAAAATTGTCCAATTTTTATCTACTGCTTGACTGTAATTAGCCCATGTCCCTTTTTTAAAAAATAAAATAAAATCACAGCCAATGACAGAAAGATGATCTTTAGAAATAAAATGTTCTGTGAATGTAGTGGGAATAACCTAGTTGTTTTGATCAGACAGATTCTCAGTTTCCCTGTTAGTGTCTATTAGTTCTGAGCTTATTCTACACTCCAGTATGAAAACTGCTGATTTTCTTTCCCTCGTTTTTGTAGGAGATGACCAAGATAGTGAAAAGTCAAAACCAGCAGGCTCAGATGGTGAGCGGCGGGGGGTAAAGAGACAGCGGGATGAGAAGGATGAACATGGCCGAGCTTACTATGAATTCCGAGAGGAGGCTTACCACAGCCGGTGAGGGAAACAGTCCCTTTCCTTGAAGGGAGTGTCTGCTCTGATTTTGGTATACCTGGTATTGACTGGAGAGACTGGAAGGAGGGTGGATTCAAAATGGAATAGGTTTTTATAGGCATGAGTTTTAGATTGCATCTACCATGGAAACTCCTATTGCCCTTTCTCATTTATTGAAAAAAGCTGTCTGCTGGGATTTGATATTCACTGATAGTTTAAAATGGACATAATGTCATACACACACCTCTCAAAGAAGAGGGCTTTGTTTACATTGTGTTTCTTTTCTATCTTACATATATAGCTCAAAGTCTCCACTGCCTCCTGAAGAAGAGGCAAAAGATGAGGAGGAGGATCAAACTCTTGTGAACCTGGACACGTGTATGTATAAGGCAGACAGATTGTGGTTTTTAACTAATCTCCTAAAAGTAATTTTGGAGATTAAAACTTCATAGCCTATAAATTCTATGAGACTTTGTATCCACTTCAACAACTGGCTATACTTGTGCTCTGTTGGTGGCTTACAAGTATTGGACATTGGAGTAAACTGATGGCTTCTTTCTTTACAGATACCTCGGATCTGCATTTTCAAGTGAGCAAAGACCGCTATGGAGGGCAGCCACTTTTCTCAGAGAAGTTCCCCACCCTTTGGTCTGGGGCAAGGAGTACTTATGGAGTGACAAAGGGAAAAGTCTGCTTTGAGGCAAAGGTAGCTCATTAAGACCATTCATTCATTTATTCCTGGATAGTTACAGTTCTTAGGGAGAAAAAAAAAGATTAGTTTTTTTTTTTTTTTTTTTTTTGAGACGGAGTTTCGCTCTTGTTACCCAGGCTGGAGTCCAATGGCGCCATCTCGGCTTACCACAGCCTCTGCCTCCCAGGTTCAAGTGATTCTCCTGCCTCAGCCTCTCAAGTAGCAGCTAGGATTACAGGCATGCACCACCACACGCAGCTAATTTTGTATTCTTAGTAGAGATGGGGTTTCTCCATGTTGGTCAGGCTGGTCTTGAACTCCCGACCTCAGGTGATCCGCCCGCCTTGGCCTCCCAAAGTGGTGGGATTATAGGCGTGAGCTACCACTCCTGGCCGAGGAACAAAGATTTTTTTTAAAAGACCTTTCATTTATTCATTAAACTACTACCTATGTATACTGGACTTCTGTGCAATCAGGCTTTTATTAGTGCAGGTAGGTAAAAGCACTGTGCTTTAACAAGAACCTTAGTTTCAGTAACCAAGAAATTGATCCCTGTGGCTTTCAGTTCAGTGACTGTTATTCTGATGTTGAGATAATTGTCGTTTTCAGTTTGTATAAAAATCGTGTCTTTCTAACTCCGAGTTTGCTACTCAGTTGGTCACAATATCTAATAGTTCCCTTTCTGACTTGGCCAGGTAACCCAGAATCTCCCAATGAAAGAAGGCTGCACGGAGGTCTCTCTCCTTCGTGTTGGGTGGTCTGTTGATTTTTCCCGTCCACAGCTTGGTAAGGTTATTTCTTTAACTTCTTCCTTAGTGTTTACTACCATATTGCTTACTCTGTGGCAAGTCCGGATGTAGGTAACTAATTTGTTGACTGTTCTAGGTGAAGATGAATTCTCTTACGGTTTCGATGGACGAGGACTCAAGGCAGAAAATGGACAGTTTGAGGAATTTGGCCAGACTTTTGGGGAGAATGATGTTATTGGCT